GGCATTTCCCACGGTAACTGAAGCCTAGGTGACGTGAATTTACCAAAATAATTTCGCCTTATTGCAGGAGTAATTAACAATAATTCCGCGAGCCCGAATGGGCTCTGACTCAGAGGCGATGAGGGCGAGAGGAATAATTGTTTTAGTAAAATCCAACTAGTTGGTCAAAAATATCGAGACAAAACAACTTTAGTTAGCAAAACGCGATTAAGCCGCTATTGTTTTGGTTTTCAAAGCCGGCGCTTTTCTCTACTACTTGGCTATAACATATAGTCTAGTGTGATCATAGACCACTAGTTGGAGTTTACTAATATGAGATATCTTGTTATGTTGGCCTTTTCCGGTTAGTTCAAACAACTTAGCTAAGGTATGGTCTAAATTGTTTCTTAACATTGGCATTTGATTTGAAAGTACAGTCGACTCCCGATAATTCGAACCTTCAAGGGAAATAGAAAAAAGGTCGAGTTATCGGGAGTTCGAGTTATCGAGGGTAAAATTATATGGAAAATGATCTGAAGGGAAATGAAAATTACTTCGAGTTAACAGGAGGTTCGAGTTGTAGAGGGTTCGAGTTACCGGGAGTCGACTGTACAGTGTTTTTAACATTCCATTTCGAGTTTCCATTAAAATATATTATTGGTAAATGTCATTCCTGCATAATCTATTTCAAACAACCATACCGTAAAATTCCGAGAATAAGAGGGCCTTTGAAAAATACAAGTCTCGGGGCTTATTTTCGGTATTTTACGGTAGTAGGAATGTTTTAGGTAGTAGGAATGTTTAAGGCCTCTTTGTTGCGGCCTCTTGGCACGCGAATAGTGTATAATAAAGAGCGCGCAAGCAAACTAGCTCTCTCTGGCGCCAGACAGTTTTTCTCCCCTACAAATCAGATTTTCACTCCTCATTTTCTTATTTTATTTTCTTTCCGGCACCAACACCACCACCACATTTCTATTGTTTCTCCATCACACCCATCACCAATAGCACATGACTTTATCTTAATGATATTTGTGCGCATTTTATTCATGAGATAAAGACAAAAGGTTATGAAGTCACCGGAGTTAATGTATTCCACCAGAAATTAAAGACATTATACCGCAAAAACTAGGCCTCAAACAGTCCTACTATACTACTTAACACTGGTGATATCAAAATCGATCATTGTTTAAATATCGGAAAAGAGAGGACATGACCAAGGGACAACAGACTGGCAAAATACACTCGCTATAACAAGGTTTCGGTATACCAAGGTTCTTTTCCGTATATCCAACTATTACTAGTTATATGAATATCGTTCGTTATACCGTTATATAGGGGTTTGTCATAATTACGGATGTCCATCTAGATCAGTACTAAAATTAACAATTCACTTTGCGGTTTCACTTTTGGACGTATCCGTGGAAATTCCCCATGGTAAAGTTATCTCGAAAAGGGTCACTTACCACGGTAATAGTGTCCCTTGTAACCTCACCAAGTATAACAAAACAACCTTCGGTAGCAATTGTAGCAATCTGCTGTCACTGAAATAGTACAGCAAGGACGAAATACTATGAAAACGGGCGTCCGCAGGTTTGCATTACTCCATCTTTTGGTATCCAAAACCCAAAACACTTTTAAAGTAAATTAATTATCATGCTTATTAGCTGAGACAGTCCGGTTTACCTTGCTCGCTGAAATGCCTCTCACTTGTATGTCCATACTCTCCTCGTACAATGACCTTCCCACACAGAATTCTGACATCTTTATTCCATTCAAGAGGAATTCTCATAACCTTTCCTTCATGCCACCAATCATAAGAATTAACGATGAAACTTGTACTTTCTTGCTGATTGTCGGCTAGTTGGTAGTCTTCCCCAAGTCGAACATTAATTTGAAGGGTTTCATTGTTGTAGATGCTCTTTTGTTCTTCCTGACTGGGGCGTACATGCAGCTCTTCAAACCCTTCTATCTTTAGTTGCATCAAAGCAGACGACATCTCGTCTTCTTTATAGAACTGCTCTTGGTAGATTTCTTGGCTAACAAACAATAGAGCAAGTTCGTCATACACTGAAGAGGGATTGCTCTTCTTGACCAAAACTGACAAAGTGTAGTTAAATGCTAGAAGGTTGAGCCTTGATACAATGTCTTTGGTGTGAAGCAGAGTTAATCTGCTCAATCTGTACAGAATTGCAATGACTGAAAAGTGCTCAATTTCAATAACTGCTTCTGTGTTTGCTTCGTTGATCTTTGACTTGTGAGTGATGTCTTGCCAGGTGATCTTTTCGCCACCAGTCTTTGAGCCGTGCAATATGAGAACGTCATGCCGATTAAGATTCATGTTTAACTTGCTTGTCAACGTCAAAGGCTTGCTGAAATATGTACCACTGGGTTCGAGCTTGATGATGGAAGCGCCAAACATGACATCATTCTCAAGATCCTTAAGGACCAAATGTCCATAGAACTTGGAAGGGTCTTCAACTGTTAAGTGCACAGACATGGAATTGTCGACAGCTCCCGGCGGGAAAGTTAGTTTGACACTTCCGCCAACCACTGCTCCACCTTTACTGGTTATTGTGCTGCGAAAAACTCCTGTGTCGTTCCTCAATGAATAATCTTTGATGATCACTGGCGACAAACCTAATCAAAATATAGTGAAGAGAATATTAACAAACTACATATTAATGGGATCAAGAGAAAATATTGAGACAGACAGGGAATCTTAGTGCGTTGGCCGGGATATGTGAATTTCACTTAAGTTATTTTTAGAGGTTGTAATTAAATGGAAATCTAATTCCTGAGACGTCCGCACATTTTAATCGATTATTTGAAACCTCATCAATTTCACGCGCACCTGCCTCAAAGCAAACAACAAAATATTTTAATAACGACTGTTGAATTTTCTGTGAAATGTTTGAACCCTGGAGTATTTCATAAGTAGGTTGAGTATGATCGTCCGGGTGAACGTAGTAATGAATGGGACCGTTATACTTGACAGCATAGTCTCTCCAACGGACACTCCGTTGAAGAGTTAACAGTGACTGACGTTTCGACAACCTGTGCGGTTGGTATTAAACTCTGGTTATTGACCTGTCTGTCAGTTAAGGCGCGATGGCATTGGCTATGAACACACGTTATGTCACTGATGCGTTTCGGTCCGTGCCAGAGTTACACAGTCAAAAAATTATTGTTAGTCAAATTGTAGGCTGTCCAGTCATTCTCTCGTCGTTAGTTTTACTTGAGTCTGGCAATAAGTCGCCTCGAGCAAAACTGGTGTACAAAATATGTGAAATTCACATATTTTTATAGGATTGGTTAATGTTATTGAATATAATATGGCTTGAATGACGTGGCCACTAAATGGAGGATTTCGTTCACCAGAAAAATTTGTTGCTGTGATGATAAATAAATCAAAGCCGTTAAAGCACTCGTAAATTAGTCGCACTGTATGAACGAAAAACCAAAAAACATGCACGGTCGGAGACCTTCCCACGTAACCACACATGGCCCCTGTTTTCGTCGTTGATTTTATATATTCTCTAAATAAGGTGCATTAGAGAGATAATAATAATAATAATAATAATAATAATAATAATAATAATAATAATAATAATTAACAATTATTCTTTGAAATCGAGGTAAATAGTGGCTAAATATTTACCGGGAAGGGTAAATATTCCCAAAGCCACTATTCACCGAGATTGAAAAGAATAATTGTTTAGTAAATACACACGAAGTGATCTCAACAAAGTCAGAGAGGAAACCATTAAAAAGTACGATTTGATTGGCGGATCAAATCACGTGAAAGCTTAAAAATTGATCTTTGCAGAATATCCAAACAAGGCAATAAACAAGTTTATCACTTCGCAAACAACAGCGTAATGGCTTGAATAGAACCGTTGATGAATTATTGAAATGACAATATGAACACCGCGATCACCAACAAGCGACGAAGAGAAATCTCACTCCTAGAATATGTATTTATTTCAAGACAAGTAAGTGAAAATTGCTTGTTAATCCATGGAGAGCTTTATCGACGCACGTTAAAACAGGACGTACTGAAGCAAAGACCTTCCTCGCTAGCTTCTAAGACATTTGTGTGGACTGCGTTGCTGTCGAAAGGCTAGTTAACTCATAATCGGCGGCCAAAACACTCTCTTTGACTTAACAAGAGATATATTTGGAACAGTAAAACGAAAATCGTAAATAGATCGACACAGCAAAGGTACAGAAAGTTTTATCTGCAAAACAAGTCGCTTTCCGCTGCTGTTGAACTGTCATGTCCCTGTTGAACTGACGGCATCACGTGCGTTCGGAAGCTTGGTAATATAGTATGAAGCGATGTATCATGGGAAACATGAGAAACCGTAATGTATCCGCTAGCGGAAACACGCGTTTGCCGCTACGTTTCCGCTACGGAGTCACGTGTTTGTGCCACGTTTAAGTTTACGGATACTTGATTTTTCGCCGGGATTTTTCGTCCTGTGTATACAGTCGAACCCCGCTATTTCGAAGTCCCAAGGGAAATGGAAAAAAGTTCGAAATAGCGGGGTTTCGAAATAACCGGGGAGGCGTAAAGGGGAAGGGTAAATCCAAGGGAATTCGATCTTCCTTTGAAATAGCGGGGATTTCGAATTAACCGAGTTCGAAATAGCGGGGTTCGACTGTATTTAAAATCATCAAGTATCATGAGACCCCATTTTAGATCCTGCTGAGTTGACCCGCCCTCAATTTCGCGGTGATTGTGTGATGGCCACTTAAATTTCCCGCCACTGGATCGAAACGGCGAATAGAGGGGCCAAGCTGCTTAGCATGACCAAAATCGGTAGCTCAAGATGCAAAAACATCGGTGACAACTTTTCTGTTCATCCTTCATTTTGACATCATCTGTGATCTGTTACTAGACAGACGCAAGGTAACATAGAATCTGTTTTTTCAAGTGACAACGAGAACAAAAGGGGTCGAAAATTTTAAACGTGCCATGGTTCCGCTTGCAGAGAAAACAACGTCAGATTTCATCCTGTTCATAAAAAGTTACTGTTTAGCTCACCTTGATTACGAGGCTGAAAATCCGTCAAACCAAGGACTGGAACTGAGCCAAAGGAAGCAAAACTATCAAATACTTCTACTCCACCAGTATCACCGACGCTGCTTGGGCCACTGTCTCCCCCTTTAAAATAGTCTGAGAAATGAGCAATCACCTTCCGTCTTTTAGCACCAATCTGCTCTTTGTCTAAAACAAAAAGTATATTTACATCTTATTAAAACCAACTCTTTCCATTCAATAATGAAACTATTTTATTGTCTATAGTACGCTAAGGAAGCTTCGGCTATAAAATTCACATAAAAAACCATGAAGCATGTGAAATTAATCATAAACTAATCAACATGAAACTATTGTACCACACTTCTTGAAAGAGTTCATCACCGAAATGACTTTAAAAAGTTTGATAATCAGCTGCAAATTAATTAAACTCTGCAACAATAACATTTTTGTAAGGAAAGACGTGACTTGTTCTGCCCCCATTCAGGGGAATAAATACCTTTTATTGGCCGAGTTCTCGGTCCGTACTGTAAATTACGGACCGGCTTCGCGCTTGGGCCGTAAATCGATGGAAAAAGTACGAGAAAACGAGGCTAATAAGATGTTTATTATATGGCTTCCTGTTTGGGGAACCGGAAACAAGTGCAGGACACACGCACGATTTGACAGTCATTTGACAGGAGTCAAAAAAGAAAAGTTTTTACTGGCTCACATTAAAAGGTTTTCCGTTAAAGTGGAATCAAATGCACCATGTTGAAAACTTATTCGGTGAACACTAAGAGCACTGTAAGTTTTTGCTCTCCAATGTAACGCTGGAGTATTTCGGAAACTGGACACTGTGTCTGGCTCGAGGTCACTTCTATCTTTCTTTCGTTGCTCTTTGTAAAAAACACGAGATATATCCAGGATTGAAAAATCGCAATTTTAGCAAAAAACGATTCGCAAGAAAATACTGTCAGACCCTTACTTGCAAATATGGTAAAAAAAAAGCAAGAAAAGCAAATTTGACAAAACTTCAGTCTTATACAAAAGAAAGGCAAAAGAGGCTCCCGAGAAGTCCGCAAATTTCGCGAAAGTAACAAGAATTTTTCTTCTTATCAAAAAAGACGCGGTAACAAATATCGCAAGAATAGCACGAATAACCAATTTCACAAAATTCTCGACTTATCAAGAGGAAAGGAAAAGAAGAAGTCAGAAGCCAGCAGATTTCGCAAAATCGCAAAAGTAACAAGAATTTTTTTGGTTCTCAAGAAAGACTCCGTAACAAATACCGTAAGAATACCAAGAATAACAAATGTAATGTCAATTATGCTCCCGAGTGTTCCAAACATAGCAGTTTCTTGTTTCTTTTGCAATTCTTGTTGGTTGCAACCTTGTCAAAGGTCTCTTTGCCATTTAACTTTAGAGGTCTTTTTTTTTTTGCTTAATTTGTTATTCATTAAAAAATTTTTTACTCTCGCTAATCTTGCGATATTTGTTATCCTATCTTTTCTATTGCAAGTAAAAAAATCTTGTTACTTTTGGGATTCTTGCGACATTCGCGGCTTTCTCGAGGGCCTCCTTTGCCTTTCTCCGTGAGAAGTATTTCCTTTTGCTAAATGTTTTCATCAGTTTCGTTCTCAAATAAACACAGGTACTGGCTAAAGTGTGGAAGGACGAAGTCAATATCCAAGTCCTCAGGGTTTACAGATCTAGATTTATAAGGTTCTAATACTCATCATTGTTTCGAGATGAAAAGATTTAGAGCTGCAGAATTTTGGTCCGTGCAGTAAGTTATGGATCGCAAATCGCACCTTATTCTGTCCACATGTTTTCTTTTTAATGCAAAATAAATGTCCACACATTTGACTTTGCAGGACATGAATGATGATAAATAATTATTGACCATCAAAATCGTAGCTCATTTTTTACACAATTAAACAACTTTCCCTGACTCTGTTAAAACTTTTGTTATCAACAGCTGAAGAACTCTGCCTTAATCTGAGCCACATACCAAACATCTGTGGTTCATAAGTGAACTCCACAGGTTCACTGGTTCACTACCAAACATCTGTGGTTCATAAGTGAACTCCACAGGTTCACTGGTTTCCTGATCTGACTTCCGCCTCAGTTCAAGATGAACCTTAACAGGACTTTCAGTAGCAACATTCCAGTATGCAGGCGTTTTGAACACTATGGCAACCTATAATAGTTCATTCATTCATTTATTTTACCATGCAACCATTTTTAATTCACAATATACAATAAATTTCTAAAATATTAACGATGTTAGACACTATTCTAAATTATTTTTCAAATGTTCAAAGTTATTGGTAATGGCAATTAAAAGGAAGCCTATTAGAAGACATGGGCTTATGAACTACAGGCTTCCCGAGAATATGGGTTATACCATGTGAATTAAGGGTACTGAATGAAAAATGAATTACAAAATTAACGAAAAGAAAAGAAAAAGCATGTAGCTCAACCAAGAGTATATGTCGGCAAGAAAGAACGAGTTCTTTTCACGTCTTTTACCAAACAAACCAATACTTTCATTGTTTTGAATTTCACGATTTGACGAGTTGAAAAACTTGGGACCTTGAAACCAAATTGAGAATAAAATTTATTAAAGATGTTATCTACTTTCTCTAATCATCAATGTTAAATAAACAGGCTATTTCAAATAATCCTTTTTGCCAATAAACTGCACCTGTCTATGGACGTCTGTGGGACAGAAGATTCCTTGAGCTTCCCATGACCTCTTGCCAGTACTAGGGTCAGTCTCATAAAACACAACTTCAATATCGTCTGCAACACATTAGAGACATACACAAAACATAAGAAACACATGAGTGATGAGGATTTTGGAGTCAAAGAGTTCACAACAACTATTACTGGTTAACCTGGGGAATATAGTAATAATATAACATGGTCTGGTGTAGACCATGGGTTCCAGGATACCAGTGTTACACACCCACCATAACAAACTCTCAAACTCACAGACATCAGAAACCATGCCTACATGTATGCTTTGATAGTCGGCTGCTAATTAATATTGACAAAATGTAGAAAGACAGTTTAGAAATCACTCTGTCTAATGTCATCTGATATGTACAGAAATTTTACAATGATATACCTTTCTGCACCTTGTCACAAAGTAAGTAGACCTTATCATTTCCTAAAACACATCCAGTGTTGCGATCCATGCGACAAATCTTCAGATTGGAGGCTGATGGGGCTTCTGATTGGGAAAAAACAGCCAAGGGTTATATAACAGACAATCTGCACAATGCATGTCCTATGACTACAGCTAAAACCTCACCACAATAGTAACTACGGAAACAAAGAGAAAGTGGCAAGAAGCCATTGCCAACTGAATATGGGGAGATAGGAGGCATAATAATGACCCAGTTCTATGAACACTAAGGTTTTTTAAAATAACACCCAAGAAGAGCTGACACTATAAATTCAAACATCAACGGACGAATAGGATATAGAAGTATCATTAATATTTGCAAGCATTTGTGTCCATGTATGAATAAGCCAAGTTTGCGATCATCTTACTTGAATCATAAACTGGATCTGAGATACAAGGTGGCAATGCTTTAGTGAAGCAGCCAGTCTCATCAGGAAGGTAGGCTTGAAAGCACAGTCGCACAGCGCTTAAATTCATGTTAGTCTTCTGCTCCTCCACCATCTGTCGCACTTTGCGAGACTCCTCCTCTGTAAATCAGATAAATAGAACTCCGTTATCCTGCACCCACTGACTGTCTGATTTAAAAATGACAGGAACTGTTCAGTGTTAATTGGCTAATTAAGATGAACAAGATACAGCCATTTTAAAACTCCTGGGGCCCGATTCTCGAAAGTCCCGATAATTAAGGGGCCTGGTAAGCTGTCTCCGTTTACATTAAAGATCGAGGTTTCAATAGTTTTGCATCTAGCATGATAAAACTATCAGTTAGTGAAACAAAATGGAGTAGTCTGCTAGCCAGGATCCGCACTCTCATTCTTTATATTTCGATTTGAATATTTGATTTCGGGCCCAAAAAGTTACCAGGACTTTCGAGAAACGGGCCCCTGGCCTTAGGAGACAAAAGAACTTGATGAGAATCAACCTATGTTAAAAATTTTAACATGGATTTAATTTTTACCTGTAACATATACATTTGTCACATTTATTTTAGATGTCAAAACCCATATTGACTAAAAAAAGACCAAAAACAAAACATCAAAACTTCAACTTCAGGGCTCGGGTCTGAAGAGTGGACATTTTGATTAGAAGTAAAATGCTAGTGTTATAAATGTATGTATGCCAACTGAAAAATGATTGTGAAAAAATATCACAAACTTGCATTTTTCTTCAATTTTCTATTTGTGTAATAAATTAAATTGTTTTACATGAGCAGACTGTTAAGGGTACAGCTGTTGAAGTAAACTGTACATTAGAATTATTCTTTTTAAATTTTTGTAACTCACCCACAATTGCTTCAGCCACATTTTTATTAAATTCTGACAGATCACCATCAGCTAAACCTTGATCCCTCATCGCTGCATCCACATCAAACCCCTTGCTGTCCACTGTTAGTGCATTGAGGGTTGCTGTGTGGAGTGTCTGAAGTTTAACGTATCGATCCATCAGCACTTTAGACACACTCTTCCTTGTTACATGTTGAATACCAAGGTTTGGAAAACTAAAATTGAAAAATTATCATCATCATCATCAAAAAAATATATATTATTAACAATCATATGTATTAAATAACCACAGTAATAAGCTATTGATGGTCAAAGAATCTTCTAAAAATGAACCTCTGACCAGTGACGACCCAAAATGCAAAAACTAAGTGGTTGCTTATGATAGGTAATCTTTTTACAAGAATCGAACAACAGGTGGTCCCTCCTGAGAAGTCAGGTCTGGACACACCCACTTGATGGTCTATACGATTGTGTAGTTCCCTGCAGTCATTAAAAGTTCAGATTCGTATCCTTTAAGTAAGACAGTACGTGGAGCAAACATAGAGATAAGAACATAGCTTACAGGAGGTTAAAAACAATATTACGAAAATAATTTAAGAGTCAGCCCCAAAAGTGGTTGTGGTCAGTTACAGAAGGTGGTCATTTGTGAAAGGTTTCAACTGTACGGCTTTGACAGCAAAAATCTTGGTGTTTTGAATAGGTGATGGCTTATGGGAGGTAGTTGCCTACAAGAGCTGGTTTTTCGCTCGGTCTTTGACTCTTGTTCCTCGTTCTTTGATCTGAAACTGCATGGAAACATTTGTTACACAGGCTACTTACCGAGCTACTGATGGACTCCTTCTAATTACAAGGGGTGGATCTCAGATCCTTTTTCTCTTGAAGGAGATTAAGGTATGCATTGTTCCTCTTTGTGTGGCCCTTTTGTCTTTGAGGGTTGCTTAAAATATAAGTTGTTTTCTGTGGCCAAAAAGTAGTATTCATGGCACAAGAGAGCGAGGCTCTCTTCACTAGGTAATAAACACATCCATTATCTAACATACATTGACAAGAAAGAAGTCTTTAGTTAATCTGTTTCTAAGAAACATCCAAAGAAAGCTTGAGCTTGGTAAATGACTATTGAAAGATCATGATGCAAACATCATGCATCAATCCTAGCAAATAATATGGATTTACAACTTTCTTTCTCCTTTTTTTTCTTTTAACATCCCACATTTCCATTCTAAAAATTGAAAAATAAAGTATTCTGTTTAAAAAAAATTACTTTTGAAGATTAAAAGTTTGAAAAATAACCAAGTTTTTCAAAATGCTCAAAACGAAGTCTCAAAAAGCAACTTAATTCCCCCCAACCCAGAAACTAGCTAGCACCTCTTGCAGTCCATCTGAAAGATCTACATTTGTATAAAACTGAACATAAATGAGAACTCTGACCTCCCATAAAAAGACACAGGAATTTCTGTGTGGCAGCCATTCAAAAAACTCTTTCCAAAGGCATATTTCTGGCATGTTTGTCTTAACCTTAATTACAATGACCAAGTTACAATACCTTGCTGTCATCCCATGCTCTGGGCCAATCTGTACTGTCACCACCCCATCATTGGAATTCATTCCAATTAGACTGTGTGCATGTGGCATGTAAGGCTCACTGACTGTTACTAATGACACAACAATACGGGCAGGGCCATGATAGTTATTCAGTTGGACTGAGGGATATGACTTCTTGCCCTTCTCAGAATATTGGCCTGGTAAGCCTCCATAAGATGGGCCCTCACAAGGATACCGGAAACGAAAGCCTCTCTAAAAGAACAAAGAAAAAAATATTACACTTAAAGTGGCATGCATAAGCTGTGGTTCAAGTCTAACCTTCATGCAGATAAGTTTTAATTTCCATTGTATAAATTGAAAAGTATGGTTGGCTATGAAAACAAAGGAAAATAAAACGCAAACCAAATACAATAAATTGAACCACATTAACAACTAACATCAAAACCTCACTTGGAAAAAATGTAGAAGAAAAATATTACATTATTCTATTTTGTTACCTGTTTAGGTTGTTCAAGAATTTCCAGGTAAGGACCTACAAAGAATAAAAATTATGTAATGTCTTATTATTTCTCATTACTGTTAACTGAACAAGCAAAACACTCTAAAACATTTCTGATTATTACGTCCTCCACTTTCAAGAGGCTTATACGTCAAGAGGATATTGTTGTCATTGGTCAATTCTGTGCTTACCGTATTCTCTTGATTAAACATCCCTGACGTTTGTTTAATTATTGGTAGTTTTGACCCAGCCTTTTCTCGACCTGGGCGTTTAATCAGGGTCTCGCGTTTACTAATGAAATGCAATTCTCCGTCACTTTTTCAGGTTGATTTGATTATTACTGATCCTAAGAGACCCAGGAGCAGTTTGTGAGGTGGGATGATTTTACCCTTTGTTCTGCCCCAGGATTTCCAAGGATGACAACTGTACGTTCATTACCCAAAGTTACAGTCTTATGCTACTGCACATTTTGATGTGCAGTATCCATCATAGTTATGTTACAGCGGTATCCTTCCTTTTAAGAACATTATTTTATGAAAATACCAAAACAACATACTAGTGTACTTTGTATTTCATAGCAGTGCTGTTCACGAGATTATATTTACTTGTAACTGGTGCTTGTAACCTTGTCAGAGCTCGGATTGAACACCCCAGGCATCATTATTTAAAAATCAGCAGTTTTGACCCAGCATTTTTGCGAGGCCAGTGTTTAATTGGTGACCGGTATTTAATCAAGAAAATACGATATGTCATTACTCGGTGCCCTTACCCATACACAAAAATGTTCCATTAGAGATATGGTGAGGATATCAAACAAGTTTCATCAGGAGGCCCCAACCATTACAATTTTTTCATTGCAAATTGTTCAACAAACTGTTGGTAATGAAGAATATTTTTTTCTGTAATATATATTTTTTTTTTTTTTTTCTCTTTCTACAGGCAAGGCATCAAAACTTGAAAAAGTTGGCCCAAAACTTTTTCAAGTTTTAATTCATGTCCATCCTTGCCATCAGTTGCAACAGATGACTGGAAACAGGTTCAACGCCTACATTATAGTCTTAAATAACAAAACTGGACCATCATTATTTTTTGGAATTCAATAGCTGGAAACAAAGTTTTAGCTTTTTAAAAAGATAGCAAATAGCTTGACAAAGCCCCTTTCAATCCCAATGCCAATTAAAAAACAGCCTTAAAATTTTGTCCTCCAATACAAATTCATAAGTGAAGGGTTATAAAGTCTTTTTTAAAATTACACGAGTAATCTGGAATAATAATTTATTGACCTCTCTCTAAAGGTACTTACCTTGGTATGCAGCAGGTGCCACCTGTAATGCAGATACATCAGGTAGATATCCTGGGGTCAATATATCCATTAACAAGCTGTCTGTGAGTTTTTCACCTGTCTGTCTCTCTGAATTGGTTGCCATGGTAGCAGGAGATGGTTTCACTGCCAGGAGTGATGTTGGTTACTGTACTTTAAATACCAAATGATACAGTTATTAAAACACAATCATAATAAAACTACTGTGTTAATCTTGCAAGATAATATTGAGCTTAAGGTATGCTGTTACCAAAATTACGAGAAAAAAAATTAAAAGACAAGAATTTTTTGTGTTTAATAATATTGTAGTTTGTAAAATTTGTTATTAATAAGAGTAGACTGTTCATTTTGGTTGTTCAGTTAACAGAGAATTCTGGTTATAAGCTTAGTCAATGCGCGCGATTTCGAGCAATGCAAACATATACAAATTATAGTTTTAGCTAGTTGTTGACGTTTGTCAGCGTTTAAGAGTCCTTCTCACGAAAAAAGCATTATTTTCTTAAAAATTTGTACTTTTTTTTCCTTCAAATTTTTTCAGGGTCACAATTGATTAACTAACTACCCGGATTCTGAATTTCATGATCATTGAAAAACTGTGACATTATCTTCTATAAGCCCGAACTTGAGTAAACATTGAAGATTTTTAGCATTTCGGCTGAGTTTGTGCTTTGGGAGTTTTCTTTTATTTCTAGTCTGTCATGATGCAGCATTCTTGTTCAGCACGCGTGCAATGACCACGCTTGGCTGACTTCCGAATGCTCACCGAGATATCGCTATCGATTTGTCGAGTATCAATGGATATTTCTTCTTTGTTTCCTCTGATCTGCAGTTACAATTTATAATGTGCCGTTTTACAAGTCATCGTTAAAATAGAAAAATCCTCAAAATTTGCATTTGCTTCATACTAATTTGATACTTTGTCATTTATATACTGTAAAAATCGCCAAATATATTTCCATAGCAGTTCACAAAGAAATCGTTCTTTTTATTCATAAAGGTACTTGATTCTTATCGCTTAAACATTTCTTGTCGTAACTTTCCCACGATGATTTGTTCATCACATACTTTATTTTGTTTCACGTGCGAATAAAAAAGCGTCGAGCATACAGTCAACTCTCAACTCTTCAGCAAACCGTCCAATATTTTACATGTCCGCTGTTACTTTTGTTGGGCTTAAAACTGCTAGCATTTAAATAACGTCTTTTATGTATTAGTTATTTATTTAGGAATGTAAAGCAAGTGCTAAAATTACGCATTTCTGGGAATAATTTCTTTTTAGTATACATAACGTATCCAAATCAGATTTGTCTGAATAAACAATAGCCATACTTCATTGAAATTTAGCCGGAGAATTATGCATAGTAGATGGAGAATTCTACAATCTCTGATGCTTAATGAAACCCCTGAATACCAGAGGCAATTTTCTTAGATGAAGCATCAACATGGTTCTCCCATGTTAGATTTTTGCCAAGAGACTTAGAGCAATGAGAATGTTTGATAGGAACGTTATTTATATTCAAGGAAGGCAGAGAAGGTAGATTATTAAGCTATTGCCTTGAGCTGATTAACATGAACTCAGTTTTAGTCATATTTAGCATTAATTTATTTGCGGTAAGCCAGTGATTTATGTTGAGCAAGTCCTCATTCAGGGAAGACTGAACGGAGTGGATATTACCATTTGAATAAGTCAGATGGGTATCATCAGCATACATTCTTGGCACAGAGTGAGACAGACAATTGGGCAAATCATTGATATAATAGCAAAAACAGTAAAGGCCCTAATATTGTTAACTGGGGAATACCACACTTGAGGGTGCAACATTCTGTATGGGAACCATTGACAACGCATTTCTGGGTACGATTATCTAAATAGGAGGAGAACAATATTTTTATTTATGGGAAACACCTATTAGACCATAGAAATGTAATTTAGACAATAGAATGTGGTCGTCGACTGTGAGGAAAACAACATTGTAACATTACCTATATCAATATTATAGGCCCAACTATCGATTGCCTCAAATAGAGTACTAAAGTGATTATGTCATAAAAATGAACTTTCTGAAATTATGGGATTTGTCTGGATATTCTGAAAGAACAATGTCCAAGGGGCCTACTTACCAAAAATGAGCATTTTGGGGCAAGTTGTCCTAATTTTGGGGGGGGTCGAACCAAAAAAATTTAGAAGGGTTTGTATGGAGTTTTCTAAGCATAACTGGGCTACAATCTCAGAGACAATTGGCCCCGAAATGCTCATTGTTGGCAAGTCGGCCTCTTGGACATTGTTCTTTCAGAATATCCGGACAAATCCCACAATTTCAGAAATTTCATTTTTATGACGTCACACTTTAGTACTCTATAAGGATGTAACTGTTGATGAAGCACGCGGAGCCCAGATCAGTGCTATTATGATCCGATAAATAGGCAAAGAGTTGATTATAGATCATTCTTTCAAATACTTTACCAGTTATAGAGATAATTGAAATTGGATGATAATTGTCTATATCGCTTCTTTTGCCGTGCTTAAATAGAGGAGCAACCCTTGCAGACTTCCAATTGGCGGGAAATATACCATTAGCTAAGGAACTATTAAGGTGATTCCCTGGTTTTGCACTGCGCATCTCTTACTGCGCATAAAAAGATGGATCGCCATAAAAAAGAGCATGTGAAAGTAACATTATTAAAATGAAGTTGACTGAAGGGAAACGATATCAGAATTTTTGCTTGGGGTTGTTTCTTGCCGAGGTGAGACTCAATGTGTTGGGAATGCGGATAACATAAGCAGTACGCATGTTGCTGAGCTCAACTTCCTCACGGAGAACCTCGATAGTGGATATTTAACTTGTGCTTACTCACTTTGATTTTCATTCAAACGCTTTCTTTATCACATTGTATCCTAAATGTGATATCTCAATGTAAACTCTGTATAAATGCATTTTTTAAATACTTTCTTCCCCCTTTCACATACATTCTATTTTGAAACTCGCCCCAGTCCTCTCTCAAAAATTGGAGAAAATGCACTTGGAGCGCACTTTCTGCAGCTCTACTGCAAAAAAGAGTACGATGACCCCCATTTTTAATAAGGACAGTACTTCCTTTTGATGAGAAAGAAATTGGCACAAATCTATATTCAGTTTTCTGGCAATTTTACTAAATTGTACGGATTGAGCTATCACGGGTCGAATAGAGCGTGTCAAATTCTTTGGACTTTGGAGCGAAAAGTAAAAACAGGAGCATTAAAAGGCATTTTTCTGGTATGTAAGTGGATAAAAAATACAATAAAGTCAAATTCTGTGCGATACCACATGCATCATCGAAAAAATCTCTCCTTTTTGTCTAGTTTTGGGCTGCTCGCGGTTTTGTCAAAGGGTCCAAAATAGCCGTATTTGTCAGCATTGTGACGTCAAAACGAGCACGGTGACCCCCACATTTTATTACTTTTTTATCATCTTCTTGACTTGTTACATCAGTGTACCAAGTTTCATCTACAATCTATGTTAGGTTCTTTTACTAAGGAATCACCTTAAATGTAATTGAAATATGAGGTGCAATCAAATCAGCGCAATCAAGAATAAGCCGACTAGACATTCCATCGAGACCAGCTCCTTTAGATTTGTTCCGTTTTTTAAAAAAGAGACAAAACCTGATTGCTATCAGTGGAGACGAGCTGGAATCTTTCACTAAGGCCAGAGATATAATCCTGAAAACTAGAGTCATTGTTGATCGAAAGATATTTCGCTTGCCAGTTTGGAACCTTTCACCAGCGAAAGTTCGTTTTCCCTATAACTCAAAGTGGTATAGGTCAATCATTACTATCCTTCGCAGATCTTTCGTTTTGTCACATTCACCCGTTGTATTCAGCTCGCTTGAACACCAGCACATTGCCGATGGCTGAGCTCATCGAACAAGAGCGAATGTTTCCAAGATGTATTGTGCCGTCTAATCGACACCATTGAAATAATCCGCCTACCTTTAAAAATTGGCAACTGAAAAGTCCTTTGAAAACTGTTATTCTGTCCTTCCTTGTGTCACTTTTCCGTCCTACATTTACTGAGGAAAATGAATTTACGCGTATGCCGTCCATTTCCCCCTTGCCTTTTCCCCGTAAGGCGTTTTCCCAGTCCCTCTCGCTCAATTCACTCTGGTGACGTATCTGAGGCCAAGGGTTCAGGGCGGAAAAACGTACTGAGCATGCGTGAACTTTTTTGCCCAGATCCCCTGGCCGGGTAGAAAAAATGGCGGGATTTCAAATATTTTATTGCCTAAAAATAAAATGTTTCTACTCATAACCTGGAAAGACCAGGCAATTTGTCTTCAAAAGTTGCAAGCTGTGGTTATAACCTTGTCGTTACTTAATTTTCTCAAAGAATACCTCATAGTAAAACGGACTTTAACAACATTAATTTCTCTGCGTTGTACTGGAAATGTGCTTGCGTAGGTCCGATTTTTTTCAAGATGCATTCACAAAATGTGTTCATATTAGGAAGTTCCTGGATATATAAGGTCCGGAGCTCCACTGTGGATACAAAAACAACATATCCTTGGACAGTGATTTGCCCAAAAAAAATAACGCTTGTCCACAGTGTGTTTGAAGTCACTGAACTTTGTCGCACTCGAGCTGATATTTTAAAACCCTCGCTCGATCGGACACTCGTAGTTTCACAGATCACTAAAATATAAACAAAATCCTCAATGTAGAGGTTATTGCGTTGATATGTGGGCAGAAATAAGGTCAACCTTTATCTAGTAAAATCTTCCCAAAAACCGGTTTAAAAGCAACTATAGTTTTTTAAACTTGCTCGTTTCGCGCAGATATATAAAATTTTGTTTGTGTTGTCAAGTTGAACACGCATAACATCTATCAAAAACCTACGGGTAAATAGGATTTCCTTCATACAAAGTTAAAGTTACATCATTTCAAAAACTTCGTGCTGACAATGAAGAAATGAATTTTCTGTACGAAAAGAACCTACCTAAAGATCTTGAAAGCAAAAGATCAGTTGCAACTTGGCAGCCAAGCTATGATTCACCAAGTACGCTATTCTCAATAAACTTGACTGGTCCATGCGAGGGTCTTCGTTTAAGCAAATTAAACTCAGCCGATCATTAGAAAATAAAGAAAATTGCACATACGGGTTTTTTTTTACTCGCCTCAGTGAAATCAAGCTGCACCAATTGTTTACGGGAAAAGAGTCAATTGTTTTGAAGTCACTGCCGACAGTTGTCGTTTTCTACTTCACAGCGATTGAAAAGGACAATTTGCGTACAGAAAGTTATTCTTATAAAGAACAGACTGTGATTGTTTCACAGTGCACTGGAAGACAAAACTACGTAATGAAAAATGAAAAAAATTCGGACTATTATTACTTAAGCAACAGAAAGATGATCTTGAGTAAGCTTGCTGGCCTTCTATTTCCGAGAAAGTTTAATAAGCGCACAAGTTTGTTCACTCTAATGCGTTGTAACAGCAACCTGATTCTTTGACTGAAGACAAAGATAAAGCTGGTTCTGCAAAGGTAATAAATCTGGGCATGTAAAAAAAGTAACCGTAACTACTAATAACAGAATACAAACGGGTTTTAATTGGATCCGGCGAAATCAACTCATAAATTAATCAGATGCACAATCAGAAAAATACTCGCCTCTTAAGAAATGTTCAAAACGTTTTATTCCACCTCAGACTGACGGAATGATCCGTTTTTCCTTTAACATTGGTTGTTCTGAATCCAAAGTAATTTTCATGCGACGAATAAAAAGCAAACATGTCAAATAAAAATGCTTTACAGGGAGCAAACGTTCGCACCTCGTACATTTCACTCAGAACTCCAGCAACAAACAAACACAGTCACACAGAAAAGCCCGCCTTAAGCCTGCGATAAGGGATGCGCAGAAGCTTGCGCAGAACGTTTTTCCGCCCTGAAGGCCAAGGGCCAAAGAGCGGCAAACGCCTCACTAGCCTGCATTGCGGGACGAGGAAGGGAGAAAAAATAAAGCGCCTGTTGCCAGTCTATTGTTCTGGCTCCTTCCACGTTCACTACATGAACGTCGCGCTGCAATTGGTTAATTGATGACGTGTTGCTCTGGCGAGATTCTGGCATGTTTGTTTGGAACAAAATGGCTGTGACGCAGTCATGTCTTTTTCACTATGCTTTTAGAGAAAGTTCTTTGTTTACTTCCAAATGTTCCAGAGATAAAGGAAAAACAAAAGAAATGTTTACTTTTGTTGCTCAACGGGCTTTTCAAAAACACGCGGATTCTGAAGTTCAAAAGCCAACTGACGTTTGCGTTTTTCGCTGCTGTCGATCATTTAAGCGGTCCTCGTAGTAGCCTGAATTTCATCCGATTACTTCGAGTCGTTATATTACTCCCTCAGTAACTGAGGGAGTAATAACGACTCGAAGTAATCGGATAAAACTCAGGCTAACCTCGAGGAAATAGAGTATTACTTCAACGGGTTCAAAAGGGGTCTTTCCATTTAGGTAAAAATCCGGAAAATTCGGTGGGAACAAAAATGGATTTTCCGATAGGTAAAAACTTGTTCCATTTGATAGTAAACCCCGGTACGGCGCCGAGCCCGTTACCCGATGGGACACCAAGATGGCTGCCGAGTCGGTAACAATTGAAACTGGTAGAAACCACGAGAAACGTGTAAATGGAACAAGAAATTCCGTTCGAAACGTTCCAACCGGAAAACAGACCTACCTTTATAGATTTTCCACTTTTTCAGGGAATTTTCCAGTAGGAAGAACCGACGAAACGTTTTCCATTTACTGCCGAACCGAAATTTCCGTAGCCTGCGAAAACATCCGTTTCTCCTCGCTCTTCGCCGCTGGGGACGTTTCGCGCGGCGGCGAAGAGCGAGGAGAAATGGATGTTTTCGCAGGCTAAAATTTCCGAAAATTTCGACTAAATGGAAAGCGCCGAAGGTCATGGCTGGTGATTGGGGGATTTCGATCCGTTTGGTGTTTCTGTTCTAAGGTTCGTTGCTTGTGATCGTAATTAAAGGCAGCGAAAAGAGCAATTGTGAAGGCGGCTTTTAAACTTAGAGTTCGTGTGTTTTTGAAAAGTGCAGTAAGGGGAAAGATGTTCTTGGATTGCTTCCAACTGGGTTTGGAAAAGTTAAACTTTTTGAAAGCGTTGACAGGCCAAACACGACTCATAAGCTCGTGATAATGTGAAGCGTGACCTTGGAATTAGTTTGAACATTAGGTTTTCCCTCTTTTCTTTCTCGACGCTGTGTTTGGACGTGAACTGAACTTTGACCGAGAAAATCTTATTTTTGCAGCACTGAGTCTTACATTATTGAAGGTGATTCATGTCCTCGTAGTTGTTATTTCCTATGGTTTATGCCGCTGTCGGTTTATGGATCGCCAGTTTCAACTTTTCATTGGTCTTTCTGACATGACGGCCGTTTGTGGGCGTGGGCGGAAGAGCAATGGACTGGCAACAGACGCTTTATTTTTTTCTCCTCCCCTCGTCTCGCGTTTCGAGCTTCGCGCAAATGCCACGTTTGCCTCGCTTGGTTCATAAAGCGCCTTTTATGCAGGCTAATGCCTCACAGTTTCGCTTGGACCACCTGACCCCGAAACGCTTTGGCTGCGCGGAATAATTAGGCCTGAGAACTAGGCAACATTCCCCCCAGACACAAGGTACTTCCCCGTCAAACTTCTGAGGGTCACTGACACCGGATATTTGGAGGCAAATTTCCCTCTGCGATTGTTGTACTTTGTTTCACCACAGGGTGCAGAGGAGTTATTTGTGAATGTAAGCGAAGCGAAAATTTATAGCCCAACTGCATCACACGAGTTGCCTCTGTTTACTGTAGAATCGACTATTAACTTGGCCTATCCAACCGTTATGCGATCGCGTTACAAACTTGGTAAAATATTACTTAATGCTCGGTGGGAACGAACGTCGCTAGTCCCTTGGCAAATTCAAAAATTTCCTTGTTACTCTACCATGATTGCTTCGTTTTCCTTTGTATTTGAGGGCAATTTCCAAGTACAAGCCCCCGGGGGCTTATAGTCGGAGGGGCGATTTAACGGAGGGTTTTTTGCCTTACGAGTTTGGGGGGCTTATATTTGGAGTGGCTTATTTTCGGAATTTTACGGTATGTTAGTCGCTGTTATTCGTCCGCAGTCATTACCTTCAGCGGTGTTCCGGAGCATTGGGGTAGGTACTTTCCCGGTTTCTCGAAATATGATTAAGTTTAACCCAGGATTAAACCAAATTTTAAGAAAGGTTTTCTTTTCTAAGAATAGTCATGTAACTCAAACTTTCAAAATACTGTTAAGCCTTTACTCTGAAATACAGTAATGATAACACAAATTGTTACCCTGAGCAATGCATAGGAAGGTAAATACAAAAAATGCAAAAAAAAAAATTAATCCTGGATTAGCGCTAATCGGCCTGTCAAGAACTGGGCCCTAGTTGATAAGTTCATCGAATAACGGTTTGCTCGATTTTACAGTATAAAAACAAAGGCGATGCGTGGTGTCAACTGTAAAATTTTTAAAAACTAGAATGAACAATCAAGGTCACAAGGAACTCCTCTGCACCCTGTGGTTTCACTGTAAAACGGTAATTTTAATAAGCTGTGTGATTCTATAACAACGGAAATTATTATTCGATTTATTGTAGCTTGGAGGAAGTCGGAATTATTGCATTCCAAAATCTAAGTTATCTTCCCTTGAAAACCCCTCTGTCGAAGCGGCCTCTTCCGACGTTTTTTGTACATTTATGAAAGGAAGAAACGGATATAAATAGGCAACATAATGCTTAATAGGCACAGTGTAATTTTCGAGGTTTTTAAAAAAATCTTCCTCGGGAGGAATAAAGCCCGTGACCCATGTTTTATGCGCTTAGATTTATTATTATCAATAGTTCCGAGGTAGTCAAGGAATAAATGCGGAGCGGGTCCTTCTCCCACCACATCAAATTGTATAGTTTTATGTTTATGCACAATATTTCCACCACGGTGGTTTATGTAAATGGTAAATACCCGGCCAACTCCGTTATACGGAGGATTACTTGTCACTACTTGTCAGCTTTTGTCTCGTCACGTATGCACAGGAACGTTGCATTCCGTAGTTTGCTACTCCCGGAAACTATCATAACTTCCCTCAATGGAACTCTAGCGGACCTTATATCTATTTCCTCTCGCAGATTTATTTTTGGTATATTTCTACTGGTCCTTTGTATGAGAACGCATCTTCAACTGTGAATGGAGTGTTTTGATTTCACTCGTAAATATTTCATAAGATTATGAATTAGAATTCCTCACGATCTTACAACGTTAACAGGCTATGAAAGAATATTTAAATACTCAGACATCAAACCGAGAGGATAGTTCGAATCTTACAGTGCTTTATAGTAATTGTTACAAGTCTCACTTTTTTGACAGTAAGTTTTATTAATTCTATAAATCCCTGTTGCTGTAGCAACAATCCTCTATATGAGGCCATTATAAAACCAATGCAATCTATTAGAGCCGGAATTAATGTAAAGTAATTGGTGGATGTAAAAAAAAACAAAGTTTCTGAAGTAAAAAACATCGTAATGATTAAACCAAACACATTTCTATTTGGAGGAATTCTTAATCGTGTTTCATTCATAACTTAGCACTTAGAAACTTCGAATCAGTTTCGTGTTGACTCATCAGAGTTGTATGCCAGCCAGTTGGAAAGTTGTAGATGATCCTTGCGGCTGCCCCAGAAACTTCTTTCAAGACTATAAAAAATAAGTATTTTTATAAAGTTTAAAGTGGATTCCAAGGCAACAGTTCGTCACGATGAAAGCTACCGTTAGAGACATTATTATTCTCAATGTTTTGGTAGCTACATTTCTATTTGTGGGAGCTGGGATTTTTCACGTCCTCGAAAGTCCAAACCAGTATGGCCAAGATCACCAATTTTACGAACAAATCAATCAAGCTACTTTAGATAGTTTACACAAAAACCTGAGCGTAAACATGCTGAAGGATGAATTCGATAACTTGGTAAAAAACGTTTACAAATTGAAGGTAACTTGTCCATCGAGAGCATCGAGTAGTTATAACTGGACGTATTCCGGTTCGCTCTACTTTTCAGCAAATGTTATAACGACTATTGGTATGTATTTTATAATTTCACATTCACATTATCTATAAGTCTCAATTAGAAGTGGTCGTAGGTTTTAAGCATATACTACTTCCTGCCATGGTGCGACAAAGTGTCAGCCTTCACAGGGTGTCATTCCTCAATTTTCAGAGTACTTTAAAAACAGAGGCTTATCTTTCCCTTTGCGTTTCCCGATGAGGGAATACATCGGACCAGGCTAAGTACCGAGATAATTTAAATATGATGATACGTAATCTTAGAACAAAGGTAAGGTTTGGATTACGAATCATATTGGACGGACTATTGTATGGAAAGTAGCTATAAATGGGCGTACTTTGAACATGATCGGCATAAGAATGTTTCACTTACAGAGAAAGAGGAACCCCCCTCTTAACCACAACGTAAAAGGGATTGAAAAAGACATAAATGAGTATGAATGAGTATAACTCATCCTGTTCAGCACTGAATTGCTGACATTACTTAACGCCATGTTCAAATCCGTCGTAACTTTTTGTACGGGTTTTTGGCAAATCCCAACGAAATCTTGAATCACTCAGAATCGACTCCCACAAAGGGAATATTTCGGAGCACCGAACCTACCCCCTTTCAGTATACGGACTGCGGACTCTTACCACTTAACCTGGTCCCCAGGGAAAACGAGAAGACCCTGGAGACGAGGTTGCTTACCACTAAACTATGGAACACTGATTGATCATCACTTATTTTATTTCATTCCAGGTTATGGACATATGACACCCTCAACCTTCGCTGGTCGAATGTTCTGTATTTTCTACGCGTTAGTTGGAATACCCTTGTGCATGTCAACACTGAAGGTGATGGGCGATAAAATAAACGAACTACTGGGAAGCTTCTTCATCATGATCAGTACCAAACGCCAGCTCAGAGACGGCAAGCAGACTAAAATCAAAGTCATGTTAACACTGACAGGACTAGTCTTAGTCTTCCTCTTTCTCGGAGGAACGCTTTATTTATCAGAGGACTGGAGCTATTTCGATGGAGTGTACTATTGCTTTATAGGTAAAGTTATAACGAGCTACCGCGTGTTAATAGAGGTCTTAGAATTTCATTCATAATATTCATTCGCGATCAAACCTCTAAAACGTTTTTTCCTTCTTTTTGCTGAGATTTCATTTACCATTAGTTATAAGAGTAAGCTTGGGAAAGGTTGTATAATACAATTATTTAACCCAACGCTTTTTCTTTTCCAACAAATTAATGAGCTTAGCGTTGGCATATGGCGCCGATTATACTAGTTTTAGTTTTCAAACAGCCGAGTACTTTTTAAAGTATACTTTCAAAAAGTTAAGTAACCTCTGCAGTGTAATGGTGCTATCTTCAACTTTTAGCAGTGAAAGTAAAAACCTTAACTTTGCATTGCTTTCAATTGCTTAGCTTTTGCAGATTTCTCTTGTTTGTCCGCTGTCTATTACTAACATTAGCACATACCTAGACTGAGCGCGTCACCAGGACTTTTCCGTTTTCTAAATGAAGAAAATTGTCATTAAAGTGACTTGTTGAGAACTGAACTCATCATGCTGTGTTTCAGCTTTGAGTACCATTGGGTTTGGGGATATGGTCCCCACGAAAGGCAAGGCACCCTCATCAGCGGTCCAAACACTGGAATATATCATCCGGGGTTTATATCTTGTAATCGGCCTCGTCCTGGTGTCGAGTCTTGTTTCTTCTGTGGTATCTGCAGTAAAGGTGTTAGATGGATGGGACTGTTGTAGGCGGACAAGATGTGAGTAGAAACAATATTAAAGTGAATGGTTATTAGAAAACTATAAAGTATATGACTCACTAGGAGTTAGCGTCAAATACTAAAGCTTGCTTTCGGCATGTTTATCTATATATTCCGTTATAAATAGAGTATGAACTTTTTTTCGAAATGTAATTGAAAACAGTTGAGAAATATTAGCGTTTTAAAAAGTAGTCACCTGTGGAAAATATAGTAGGATAGATGAAAAGTAGAGCGATAGTGACTACTTTGCCCTGAAAAATAGCTAGAAGTACATGCATGCTGTACGTGAAACAGTTGTATGGGAAACAACAGGTCTTTTGCAGCTATGTCGCTTTTTCTTAGAGACCGCGTTTAATATAGATTAGCAAACACCATTAAGCTGTATTCAGAAGGCTACACTTGTTGACTATGAGAAAAACTAAGAAGGTACCGTAAAACTCCGAAAATACGCCCCTCCATTTATAAGCCCCTCCAAATATAAGCCTCCCAAACTTGTAACACAAAAAACCCTCCGTTCAATCGCCCCTCCAAATTTAAGCCCCCCCCCCCCCCCCGGGGGGGCTTTT